TGCGTTAAGTTTATGTTCGTGTCTTAAGGAATTTAAATAGAGTCCAGTAGGAGCTACTGAATAAAAGTTCCAATTATAAACAATTATCTTTAAGAAATAGAAGGGGTTATATTTATTGACAAATAAATAAGTTTTGAGGGTTGGAATAGATTTAGTTTCAAATTGAGTAGTGTATCCAAAGAATATTTTCTAAAAAATATTGTGCAACTTAAATTAGTTAAATTGTATAATTTTAATTATTTGATGGAAGTAATTTTTTTAATATTAAGAGTTTTATTTTTATTTAATGATTTTATTTTATAAATTAATATAAAATAAATTATAAAAATATTATATAATTTAAATTATTTAAATTACACAACTCTAACTTTTAAATAAAAACAAAAACACTTTCCCCCCTCCAATGTTTTATTTTACCCTATAGACTATAAAATAATTAATTTTTATTTTCCTAATAAAACATGTAATGAAGGTTAACTAATCCAAGTACTTTAAAATTTAAGGAAATCCACTTGTATCCGAAGGTCGGTTCAAAAAAATGTACTTGTTTTAATATTTTAAATGTTAAAATATTTAATTATAATTGTTAAATTAAATATATAAAATATAGTATAAATGATAATTTTATTAAATTTATTATATAATTATTATGACATATCTTCGTCATTTTTTTGAACTCACATATCTTCGTCAGTTTAAATGTTACAACATCTTGAGATTGGTTCTGCGTGTCTTTCTGACTTCCTCTCATTCTTGTCGACTTGGTACTTGAAGGATTTCATGTTTGTTTCTGTTCAAGCTCATATCTACGCAGTTTGCAAGGATGCAGCTGGAATCGCTGGTATTCTTCTTCCTGTCTTCCTTTATCTGGTTCAGTTCTTGAAAATTTTTTTTTTAACCAAATACTTAATTGGATTGGAACCCATGATTGCGTTCTTGTTTAGAATTTTGGGTTGTCTTTTGTTTTTGCAAATTGATTTTGAGGTGTTCTGTTTCTTCTGGGTAGTTCTCGATTGAATAAAGAAAGCCCATTGCATAAGAGATGTCCATGGCTTCCAGTTCTTGTCAAATTCCTGTTTTCTGCTTAATAGTATCTGGTTAATTGCTCAGAAGTTGAATTTGCATTCATTTTGCATCTAAAATCCCATTTTTTGTTTAAAATTATTGGTGCTGTTTGATTTACGATTGTAATTTTTAATTTGACTAATTTTTATTGCTTTGCTTGCCAGAAATTGAGGGACCTCTCCCCACTACATTTAGAGTTTAATTACTTTTATAAAGAATGGAGAAGAAAGTTTTGTTGGTAAATAATTAGAGCCACTCTCCTTTCTTTACCAACGCCTTTTTGATAGCCAAAGGAAGGAAGCATCTGAAAGCAAATTTCTAAATTTTATTTCATACTGACTAATTAGCTTTAATTTATAGGTATTATTCCTTTTTTTTTATCTGCCGATTTAACTTCAGAAGGAAATTAATTAATTTCAAATTTGATTTAAAATTGTTTATTATTAGGTTTGATTTTAAGCAATTAATTTTCTTTTCATTTTATTTTTTTAATAGAAACGGTGATGAACCTTAACAGGTACAGTTGCCTTATAATAATTTGCTTTTCTTTTTGTCATTTAGGGTTTTCTGCATTTCTTCCATGAGATGCCAGGCTCTAAATGATGTGTTCTATATGTGATGTGGTTGTTTGAGTATGTATGGAAGATGTTTTGATGATGCAGGATGTGCTTTGTACTAAAGAACAAATTTAAGCATTCAGAACCATTCATGGTATTAAACACAATTTGGTGTCCACTCTATTCAGTTTATAATTAGAATAGATACTATGGATTTCTTTTATTTACTTTTTTTAAGTAAGTATATATCTTGGAAAAAAATAACTTTTCTAAAAATTTTTTTTTGATACTTGTTTGTTGCAGGAAACATCTTTGCTTTTGGGCTTTTTCTTTCCCCTATGTAAGCCATACTGCTAAGTATTTTTTTTTTTTTAATGCTACAAGACTTTGTAATTGAAATGAGTTAATCTTTGTTATGGGTCCTAACTTGATGACTTCATACTTGGTTTTGCTCTGAAACTTTCAGACCCACATTTAAAAGAATTATCAGAAACCAATCAACGGAGCAGTTTTCAGGACTGCCATATATTTATGCCCTCCTGAGCTGCTTGATCACCATGTGGTATGGCACACCCTTCATGTCTTATGATAATGCAATGGTTATGACAGTCAATTCAATGGGTGCACTTTTTCAATTGGCCTACATAATTGTCTTCATTACATATGCTGAGAAAGATAGTAAGGTAATTGATCCATTGAATTTACATGCAATTGGTTGTGTTGTGGTCCTTGAGAACCTTTGATGTTGCTCAATATTTTCAGTTATATTTATATTTTATATTGTTGGCAGTTCAGAATGCTTGGATTGCTACTGGCAGTTTTTGGCCTGTTTGCTGCCATTGTAGCTGGTAGCTTGCAAATGGTAAATGGAGGCATTCGGCAGATTGTTGTCGGGTTGCTGAGTTGTTGTGCTCTCATATCAATGTTCGCCTCCCCATTGTTTGTAATTGTGAGTTGATTCAAGGAACTAATTCTACTTTCTATAGTGGATTATTAGCAGTATCTGCATAATTTAAACTTTGCCTTCGTTTTATCTCATTATGTTCTCCAGAATTTAGTGATTCGAACAAAGAGTGTTGAATTCATGCCATTTTATTTGTCTCTTTCCACTTTCTTGATGAGCACCTCCTTTTTCCTCTATGGAGTCTTAAATGATGATACCTTTGTTTATGTAAGCTTCCTCTCCTTCTCATTTATAAGCCTTTTTAATTTTGAAATATTATTTTTGAAACTCGTAGGTTCTTATTGCTTTTGCCTTTTTTTGCTCTTCCAGGTCCCAAATGGGATAGGAACTATGTTGGGGATTGTACAATTGGTATTGTATTTTTACTATAAATCTAGAGAAGATTCCAAAGAACCATTGCTAGTATCATATACGTAATTGTTCTTCAGTTGGAGAGGTAATAGTGTATTCATTGCTCTCCATATCTATAAATCTTTAACGCATTGCATGCTGTTGCTAATACCTTGTGATGGAACTCAAAAAGAATTTTTAAAGTAGAATTGCTAAGGTGAATGCTTCTGCATCTGAGTTATAGAAAGATGATCTGATAAGAATTTCTGTCAAATTTCTAAGTGAAATGGATGCATCATGTCTTAAAGATTTCCTTTTGTTTCTTTTCTTCCTTTATATTTTGGTTATCTCATTCCTTGGATGTGATGTTTGCTAAAATACCATATTGTTGCTATTCTTGAAAGTTGTGAGAAATCATGCAAAATTTAAATGTTGAGGCGAATGCTTGCGTATTCAAAGTTGAGCCGGTTCAGTTTCAGAGGATGCTATTTGAGTTAAGCTATGGATCTAATGGATGTCCTGAGTTGAAAGGTTATTTGAATGCGGGACTGTTTCCAGCAACCCAGATGCTTTCAAGTTTGCCACTTTGCCATTGGCCAATAGCTCTCACCTGGTGATTGTTTGATAGGTTTGAGCTTTGTTACATCATACTGAATTTTGCTGCTAGTATCAGCTATAATTTGATGCATTTTCTGCTAATTTGTTGGCTGAATGCTGGCGTTGTAGATTTATAACTGAATTTTATGCAAATATCAATATATACTGGATGAAAATTGAGCTTATGTATCAAGATGAGAAGGAAACAAAATATTGCATTTTCTAATATTTGTTAATTTCACATTCCCAAGTCATACTAAACATAGTGGATAGCGTTCCTTGACAGCATTCTACTCTAAAAAGGCAAATTCTGATTTTCCTTTTGGCCTGGAGAATTCATCACTGATGATTACAGCAGATCCTTGAGCATTGTTTTCACAACAGCAGTTGATTTTCCCTGCAAAAAACTACCAACACCCTGTTAGTTAAATATATTAAATTGGTCTTGCAATTACATGATTGTGTTAGTTGATCACTAGGTATAACGTCGAGACTTTAAATTTCTGTAACAAGCTAAATATCTAAAATATAGTATGAATGATTTTGGCAAAGATAATCACCTGTAATGTAATTTCATTGTGAGAACTTTCATCGACTGAATGATCAAGCACCTGACCTCTTTCGTCATACAAGATAAGTCCGCTGAAACTCGGGAGCTCACATTTTTCCCCCATAAGTATTGGACGCTGCCACACTGGGGAGTCGGAGTTATGGCTTTGCCATCCTACACCAGGCTCATACCTTCTGAAGCTAAGCAGAGGAGGCGGCCTCTCCCCCTCCCCCCACTTGTTTGCTCCACACCACCTCACTGAACCCATCAACACCTTCTTCACTGGGACCCAATGACAATTTTGCTCATTCCAGTCTATCTGTATGGACCCTGCAACTGATTCATGGTCCAACTCCAACATTTGTTTCCTCCGGTCATTCTTCTTCTTCTTCTTCTTCTTCAAGATTGTTGCGGTGCAAAGACCGATAACGACCAATGCGGTGCAGGCGAAGAGACCAACTGCTTCTTGGGTTGTTAGCTTCCATTTATCTTCTAAGTTCCACAGAGCTTCCATTGTTGCTGCTTTAGAATATGCGTAATAGCGAGTAAAATTAACAAGTAAGGGAATATAGACAAAGAAAAAACTATTATATAGTCTGAATTTTACAACAAAAATTATTTAATAAAAGGTGAATTTTTTTTTTTTAACATGATTATCATGGGAGAGGGGATAAGGAGATAAGAGAAAGAAAATTTTTAAAACTTTAAACTACAACCCACATAAATAATTTTATTAATTCAGAGTCAATGTCACTAAGTCGAACAGTATAAAACATAAACAGTGAATTTCTTAATATAAAAAATCCTTTCTCATTTAGTGATTCTTATTTTTGCAATCGTACTACTCAACGGATAATCTATATACAGATGTGTACCAAATTTGGAAATATCACGTGAAGCCCACCGCTGATTGGGCCTGGGCCACGTGGGCTTCGTATTGTTATTGCCGTTGGAGAAATAACCTCACCGTTATCGGGATGTAATAAAGGCGGTCCACGGGATTTGCCATGCATGGTCTGAGACATCCTCCTCCTTCATTAATGTCTTCTACTATTTTCATTGGATTCTGATTCGTTTCTTTATTACTATTTTGTTGAAATATTTTGTTATATTGTTCTAAAAAATAATATATTCAACATAAATGTATTAACTAGTAGAGGGTTGGTGAAGAAATTTATTAGTTACAGGAAAAACTTTGAATTAAATTAATCATGTTTTTTTCTAACGAGGGGGATAGGGGAAACTAAGAAGAGGTCTTACTTTTGGGGAAAAAAATGTTTATTAGTTGGATTTGTTAAAAATTAGGTAAAAAAAATTTTAAAATTATTATTATTTTTTTTAACCATTTTGACATGGGGTGGGATCAAATTCGCTAAAAAAGAAGGGTGCTAAATTATGCTATTTTAATAAAATTTTGAATAAAATTAAAATAAATTATTTTAAAACAAAATAATATTATTTTAATTTTTTAATATATTTTATTAAAATAATGTAATTTTAAATTATTTTTTAATTTGTTAATTTTTTTACAAATGTGATTAATAAATACTAATCTTGAATCTTTGTTATTTAACTTATACATTAAAAAAAAAAAGAAAAAAAAAAGGGAGCAAACTCATACTTCATATCTTGCAATAAAAAAAGAAAAGGGTTTGTGCATGGTAGTCAACCTTTCGAGTTTTGAGTGAGATTCACCGTCACCAACTAGCATTTAAGATTTATCGTATCGAAAACACAATTTTTTTGGTTTTATTTCCTAGGGCAAAGTGATTGAATCAATAAATACCATAAATAGGGCATCTACCAAAAAAGGGAAAAAAACCATAACAGGGCCTGGTGATATTTTGAGCATCACCCATACCAATTGTCAAACACAGAAACACCCTCCTTGAGGGGTGGAAGAGCATTGGCCTTCACTAATGCTATAATTACAATATCATGAAGGATAGATTTGTTGTTAAATAAATAGATAAATAATATTATGAATTATATAATTAATACATCATATTCTATATAAGAAAAGATATAGATAAGAATATAAATTTTGTTATTATTTCTATTTAAGGGTATAAATTTTGTTAGTTGTTATATAAGGTAGTGAATTTTTTTTTTTTTTTTTTTTTAATTTAAGGATGTCAATTTTATTTTTTTTTATTTAAGAATTAATTAGATGATGATACTAATGTGTTAAATGAATTTTTTTAATTATCTAATTAATTTTTAAATAGAAAAATGGTAAATTTAGCATTTTTAAATAGAAAAAAAATTAAAAATGTACTATTTTATTTAGAAATCAATAAAGCGTACATTCTTAAATAGAAAAAATGACAAAGTTCATATCCTTATCTACACATTTTTTCTATTATAAGTTTATAGTTTCACATAACATTGAAACTATACCAACGATTTATTAATCTGAGTGAAAAAAATTTGATTATCTTTAAATATGGTTTCGAATTTAAATTTTGTGAATAAAGAAACAAATACGGAAAGAGCTTCTCCTCTTATAAGGTCCAACTCGAGTTTAACGCCAAATTAGTTAGGGTCCAATGTGACTTCCAAATACCGAGAGATTAATACTAAAAAATAATAATAATAACATTGTAACTACATAATTTGCAATTAAACTTTTCAAAAATTTATGATAGAATTGTAATGAAGAAAAAGGTTTTGGGTATATTTCGCAATGACATACAAAGTTGAGGACCTGAAACAACAAAATTTACCTTACAAAAAAAATAATAAAATATGGGCACTGCTTCACCAATGGAAAATTCTGTAGTCTGACCACGGGGCGGAGGCAGCGGCCCTTGGGAGGAGAAAATGGCGAGGAGAAAGTTGCTCTTATTCTTGAAGCCATTTGATGTCTACCCAGCAAGCCAATCAAACAGCCGTTCGCGCTTTACCAACAATCCTCAGGTATCATATTAACACTGATCTCATATTTTTGAGAGTTCTGTCATATTTTTTTCCTTGTATTCAAGCTGTTTGATGAAATGCCTAGGTGGTAGTTGGTATTCCATGTTTTAAGTAAAGAAATCTCTTCATGGGTTAATTCTCATTTTGGGTTTTCATTCTCTTGCTTTATCATTCCTGGCATCATTTGAGCATTTCCAATCTATTTGGTCTGATAATTGATAGTTGCTGAGCTATATTTTCAGTGTTCTTTCCACTTTGTACGTTTCTAACTAGCATGCCCGCCATATGTTGAAACTTGTTTTGGTGTGGATGAATTCAGAAGAAAACTATTGAATTTTTCTTTTTTATGCATTGAATAAACAATGTGCAACAGAGAACAGTTATCATTGAAAGGCAAAGTTCTAGATAATATATACTCTAAAACACCCCATTTATTAACGCCTGAAAAATGATTGTATGGATAGTCTGTGTAAATTGCACTTTGAAAGTTTCAAGAGTGATGAATAATTGCCTTTTTGAACTCCATCAGTGGTATTACTGGGAGTCTACTGGCTTAAACCCTTTAGCATAATTGCTTCTTTTTTTATTCTCATTGTGTAAACTCAATTAGATGGTATGTGAAAGGTGCTGATTTTTTTTTAATCTTTTATTCTTGAATACTTTTCCATTTAGAGGGGAGGAAATGTCCTCTGTGACTCTGAACAATACCAATTTCTTTTCAAGTTTTTGAAAAGAGACAAGTTACTCCCCCATGTTCACCATAGATACCC